TGGCTGTTAGTTTGCTTGTGGAGGTTATAGCTCTATTTCTATATAGGTATTCTCTGAAGAAACGTCAATGCAATATATCTTTTGTATTGATCAGATGGCTTAGCTCTACATTAAGAATCATGTTTTCCTCTCAAATTGAAAATTAGTTTACTTTATCCATTCAATTATAGATAGAAAAACCACTAGGAAGGAGAATAAATTGGCATTGAGTAAGGTCCCTAGTGACTTGAAGAGTCACTGTGACGCCTGGACAAGTAATGGGATTTGTCCCTTAGGGATCTGGTTCCCTCCCGCACTGATGGATAGATAGCTGGCTGTAGTTATGCAAAATTGTGGCTATGTCTTCATAGATGTACAGATAAGGTGGCACTTTGTTAGGAAACTAATTTTTTTTAACTTTGTTTTGGAGATAATTTTTAATTTTCGCCCTTTGTTAGAAAACTAATTTTTAATTTTTGTACTATGTTATGAAACTAATATTTAATTTTTGCTAGGAAACCAGGGCATCAGAAAGCAGGTAGAAAAGAGGCACAGTTATAACCACAGAACCTCACACTAGGATGGAACGGTTTGTTCATCCAACCTCAAAATGATAAATGTAAATTGATACTGGGCTGTAAATGTACTGAAGAGATTTTTTTTTAAGTTTAGGCATGTCTCTCTGTAGCTCTTTACTTCCTTCTCCCAACTCTTCTCACACCTACTAAAGCCTCTCAAACTCAAATAGTCTGCAGAAATGAAAGAACACTATACTTCTGGATTGTGTACACACTATAGCTTCTGGACAGTATGGAAGTTTAACTGGCTGTCATGGCATGGAGAAAGATCAGTTGCCCAAGGCTGATTCCTAGGAGACTGGAGTCCACCTCCACCCTCCACCCTCCCAACCAAATCTAACACCAACCCTCCTTCACACAGTACTCTCAACGTCTCAGCAGGGTTTGAGAACAGAGTACCACCTACCCTTTACACTTTTGTCTTGGTTTTTAAGTCTGTTCTTGGGGTTACTTGAGATATTAATTGGGTAGACCAGATCAGCCCTTGTTTCTTAGATAAAATGTAGTGTGCCACTATATTTTCAGCTATTTAGTTACGATAAATTATTATCCTAGTTTGAAATATGAGAAGAATTCAGACCTACAAATTACAGGCTAAGACCAAAAAGGTCAGAAATTTTTTAAAATATATATTCAGGAACTTCAAATGAAAGCTTTATATGGACCCATGGCGGCTAGCTAATTATATGTTGAGCTGGAAATCATAAGGGCAGTAGTTTGAACTCAACACTCTGCAGCCCGTAAACTATTTAAAGGTTTGGAAACCCAAAGGACAGATTTTCTCTGTCCTATACGGTCAGTATGAGTTAGAATCGATTAAATGGCAGCATCCCATCCCACGTAGTGTGGGACACTGGGCAGTATATACAGAAACTTCAAGTCAGGTACTGCAAAGTCAGCACATGGCTGAGCGGAAGGGAAAAGAAAGTTGAAAAGGCACATAGGTGGAAGGCGTGAGGGCAATTTAGCATCGAAAATCACAAATCACAGTGAGAATTCTGAGGTTTACTGGGAAAACTAACAGGTTACAAATCAGGTTCAGAAATGCTCAAGACACAGGCACACCTCTCTCTCTCTCTCTCTCTCTCTCTCCCCCCCCACCCCCCACTTAACAACTGAGCAACACGCCCCTTGACCTTGGTCCTGCTCAGGCAATGTTACAAAGTTCTTTCAATACTGCTAATAAATGCCCAAATGGCCCTCCACTCCACCAAAAGCTTCAGCCTGAAGGTGCTCAGCTCTCGATCAGCAAACTCAACTCCCCAATTCAGTAGTCACCCCACTCCACAAGCAATCATCCTGTCTGAAAGCACTCAGATTTACTGGTTCCATGAGCTGGGAAGCCCACTGCTCGCTCTCTCTCTCTCTCTCTCTCTCTCTCCTGTGGCTTCCACTCCTCTGGCCTTCTGTTGTGTCATTGCTTTCTCTCCTGGCTTGAGGAGGTTCAATGCTACAGGATCTCAGGGTTCAAAGACACCCTCCACTCCTGGCTCTTCTCTGTTGGTGATAGTGAGATTCCCCCAACCCTGCTTCTGAAATGGTTCATTTTATACCCAGAAAAATCGCAACATTGACAGATCCCTTCATTAGATTTCCATTTTAATCACAACCCTGTTAACAGTCACTCACAACCACAACAGAATTATCACCATCTTCCCATACCGTCTCTTATCCAGACCCATAAGGAAAAGAGGAAAGGCACTGATTGTTTGGTGGGAGGTGCAGAGACAATGATTAGAAGAGCTATTTCAAGTTAATCACTGTACCCATGCGATTTAGATGATAGAATAAGATGGAATGGTTTCTAAATGCTGTTTAAGCTTAACCCAAAGCTAAAAGATACAGGGAGCCCAAGCTTGAACCAAGTTTGGAGAACACTTGGGACAGGCTAAACTAGCACTCAAGGTTCCATAGTCAAAATCTTAATAATTGAGGATAAGAACGGTAAAATGTTCTTTTATTTATTTATGTATTCCTTCGTTGTTTTCTTTTTCGTTTCTTTATTAAAAACTTTTATTGGGGGCTCTTACATCTCTTATCACAATCCATACATTCATCCATTGTGTCAAACACATTTGTACATATGTTGCTATCATCATTTTCTAAGCATTTTCTTTCTACTTGATCCCTTGGTATCAGGTCCTCATCCCACCCCACTCATTCCCCCCTCCCCCGCCCTCCCTCCTTCATGAACCCTTGACAAGTTATAGATTATTTTAATGTCTTACATAGTCCTCTGTCACCCTTCATCCACTTTTCTATTATTTGTCCCCCTGGGAGGGGCTTATATGTTGGTCCTTGTGATCAATTCCCCCTTTCTCCCTCCCACCCTTCCCCTTATCCTCCTGGTGTCTCCATTCTCATTGTTGGCCCTGAAGGGTTTATCTATCCTGGATTCCCTGTGTTGCAGGCTCTTATCTGTAGCATGGTGTGTGCTCCCCAAGCCCCAGCTGCTCTGGTTCTGCAGTTCTTGGCTGGCACAGGAGGTCACCATGGAGCCAATGTTGAGGAGTGAGTCTTTTCCTTAAAGTCTGCGATAATGGTGGTGACGTTGCCCACGGTTACTGCCAACTGCTCCGGTCCACGTTCTTCAGTGGGGCCCTTGAGGTGTGATTCTTCTCACTGGTCTTGGTCATAGCATTTTCAGACTATACCCTGTTTGAGTCACCAGCGGGACCTTCCCAACTTTGGTCTATTTCTTTGTTGGTGTTTTTGTTGGTAACACTAGGGCTGAGCTCCTTGTCTTTCTCAGCTTTTCTTTTGTCTTGCTTTTCCGATTTCTTCTCTGTTTTTAGGCGGTGGGGGAGTGGCATACTCTTGTGCCACTTGTGCCGCCAGCTGAGAATGTATTCGACATTTTCTGATGGAGATGCCTTTCCTCACAGCACAGGTGTTGCATTTAAAGACCTCGGTGCTGTTTCTGAAGGTACACATGCTACTGTGGCACAAGCTTTCATCTGTGGCTGGTTTCTGGTGGCCCATGGTCATGGATGGACTATATGCCCACACCCCTCCTCCCAAGGCCTGTGCTACTGGGAGGGGAAAGGTTGTCTCTGATCCTCCCCCACATCCACCCACCCCTCAATTAATTCTTCATTGCTGAAATACTCTGACAATTTGAATACTTAAGGAAGCTCTAATAAAGTATGTAAAAAATTAAGTGACTTCACTATAATCAATACTTAGAACTTAGAATTTTGTCTTATTAAGCACTGTATCTTTTGGCTCTAATACAGTGTAATCTATGGATAAGAGACTCAATAAATTTCATTTTATGAATTTAGTAATGCAGTCCACAAATGTCTATAGATCGGTTAAGATATGCCAGGTGCCTTGCTAGGATAGGGGAATTCACAAAAACAAAATAAACAAAATAATGATTGCCTTCATTGAATATATTCTACTCAAAATAGATGTACAGATGAGGTAGGTGAATGACAGTTGCAGGGGAAGAGTGACAATTTGAGCCTGCACTCCACCCTAGAAACTAGCACTCCTTCCCTGGCGCTGTCATTCACCTCAGCTGTACATCTATGATGACTGTAGCCACAGTTTTGCATAACTACAACAGCGATCGATCCATCAGGGCGGGAGGGAACCAGATCCCCAAGGACAAATCCCATTACTTGTCCACTCATCACAACAGCTCTTCACGTCACTAGGGGACCTTACTCAGCCCCAATTCACTCTCCTTCGCAGTACTTTTTCTACCTATAATTGAATGGATAAAGTAACCTAATTTTCAATTTGGGAGGAAAGCATTTTTCTCAATGTATAGCTAAGCCATCTGACCAATACAAAAAATATATTGCATTGACATTTCTTCAGAGAATACCTATATAGAAATAGAGCTATAACCTCCACAAGCAAACCAACAGCCACAGAGCTAGACGAATTAAGAAGATTGAAAAACAAAGGCTTCTTTTATTTTTTCAGGGTGATCTTTCATGCCTTATAAAACACAGCGTTTAAAATTACATTGAATCAATGAGGCTCAACATGTCAACAACATATGCAGGAAAATCAAGCATATTTACAAATAAATTAGTTTGAAATATATATAAAGAACAGTACAACAGTGGATTAAAAAGTGTAAACTCCTTGAAACCTTCATACACACTTTGACACATAAATGTATGAGTTTCAATACGGATAAACACACACGAGGACCCGAGGGAGAAGCTCCAGCATCCTGTGAGGAGAGATGCTCAGTGGCAGCACGAGCTCCACGCCTGCCTTCTTAGAAAGCACCAGTGTCCTTCGCAGGGATCCTCATCCCACTCCGAAGAGTTTAAGATTCCTTCCAAGTCTTCGTTTCACATTCTCTCTCTTTCTACATCTAGTTTCTTTTAACTCGTGATCAGATCATGATCAGTATTAAGGATCTCAGAGCCCCTTGGGTCGGACGGGTCTCTGAAGAGTTGAGCCTCCAGGTCAGGGAGGTTAAAGAACCCTGAGTTGGCATCGAGATGGTTGTGTGAGCCTCTTTTGAGAAGGTGGTGAAAGAAAGGAAAAGCAGGAAGCTGGAAGCGAATTCTGGATTTCAGAATCTGAGGTTGTGGCTTTCCTTATACCGTGGACAGGGAACACATCCGGAGAATCTATGTAAGGGGCCCAAAGAATGAAGAGGGGGCGCAGAATTCCAAAGAATGAACATTTGGGGAAGGTGTAGTCAAAGCCCTTGTTAGTCCTGTTCTGAAAGGAGAGGTGTCCAGAGGCATAATCAAGAGAGATTGTGTACCGTCCAGGGGCCAAATTTATGGGGAAACGGGTTGAAGGTGAGGTGATAGCCCAGGACTCATTTGAATAGCACCCTATTGCCCAGAACCCAGTCTCAGGTGATATAGATACGGACCCTTTCCGTACAACGTCATCGCTGGCAACACCCAAGAACCATCCCGTCCCTCCCCCAACTTCCACGTCCCAGGACCATCTGCCTGACACAAACCCCTCTTGGCCCAACACACAAGGTAAGCAGTCAAATCTCTGAGGGGTGTCTGGAAGCTTCTGCCAGGTATTTCCACGGGTTATACATTTATTTCCTTCAGCAAAAATGACTTCTGGGTGAGCTGTATTTACATCCAATGTTACATGCACTGTAGAGAAAGAAAATCAATTCCAATGAAAATTTAATTCTTTGAGGGAGGGAGCATTGGCAAAACAATTTTATGGTATTAAGTTTAAATGGGCAAACCAAAATTCAATGGCAAAAGAAATTTCAAGAAGAAGGAATCTAAACATAGCCTATCAATCGGTACATGAGAAATTCTTCACCTGCCCACTAGGAATCACCAACAAGGAAATGGCTAGATTTTTAAGAACATGAGTGAAGTGTCCATGATAATTATTGAAGGAGCCCTGGTGGCTCAGTGGTTGGGTCAGCAATTCGAAACCACCAGGCTTCTCTGCAGGAGAAAAACCAGTGTCCTGCAGAGGAAAATACGGACTACAGTGTTGGAAGTGCACAGCATCCACCCCATGGGCAGGAAGCTGGGGGGGGGGGGCGGTATTTTAGTGGAATCTCGACTCTTTGCGGAGTGGGAAAGGACAGTTACTCCAGGAAGCTTTTCTTCCTCTTCCTCAAACAAATGTCTTGGGAATGGGCACTAGGGAATACAATTATTTTCCTGTCACCTGTTTGACTCAATCATTACTGTAAACTCCTATTTTATTCAGCACTGAGCCTTGATCACATGTATGGAAGCCTTGGACCCTTGTGTATTGTGTGAATCACTGAATATGGCCTGAATTTCTATGATAGGAAATTGCCCAAAAGAAAGGCAAGGGATTTTCCATGGCAGGAAGGTTCCCGTTAGCAAATGATGCGCCGTCCTGGATTCCAGAATCCAAAATTCTTATTTTCCTTATAGAATTTATGCAGGATAATCTCATTGCATCGAAGCCATCAAGAGACTCTTGATTGCTACTCTTTCTCTTTGCCTAACTTACCTTTTGTATACACTTTTTCATAGCTCTTTGTCCTCTTCCAGAATACAAGAGCAAGAAGCAATACTGATAAAATAACAAGTATCTTCCATGTGTTAGCCATTCTGAACTCTGAAACAAGACCCAAGAAGCCCAATGAAATCATGAAATTGAGAAATTTTGAAAATTGTCATTTTCATCTGCACAACTACTAGAAAGAGGGGGACAATTAGGTTTCTCATGGCAAGTGTTGGCTTGCTTCTCCTGCCCTGTGGGAGCTGACTAGAAAATATACTGGAAGGCAGGTGGGGTGGGGGGTGGGGGGCAGAATGGGACGGGCTTCCAATCAGGCTGAATGGCAGCAGCCGGGCAAACCCACTTCGTGAAAGCTCTCAGCTGCCACATGGTCCGCAGGCATGCAGCAAGCAGCCGCCCCACAGTCAAGATGCCCCAGAGGAAGGTAGGCTGACTGGAGGGAAAGTGAAGGAGGAGCCCCAGAGGAGATGGGGAGGTTGTCTGTGAAACCTGGGCGGGCAAAAGTGGAGACAAAGGCAGAAGAGAAGGATAAGTCATCAGACACGACAGTGCAAGCCAGAGGGAGGTGGGGAGCAAAGGGAAAAGAGGCTGAAACAGCTAGCCACGAAAGTGAAGACTTACCTGCAGAAAATGGAGAAACGAAAAATGACGAGAGTCCAGCCCCTGCGAAGCCGGAGAAAAAGAAGCCAAGTCTGATGAATGCTTAACTACCATGTCTTCTCAGTGAGCCCTGTTATCTTCCTTCTTGTCCAATCAGAAGAATATTTTTATCAACTATTTTGTAGATGCAAGTTTTTTAGTAGCTATAGCAACATTTTGAAGAAGGAACAAAGCCACGTCATGCTTTTTTTTTTTAAGTGTAAATGCTTTTTTTAAGACATGACATCATTTCTTGTTTGTTTTTCGGTTTGGGTCAAACCAGAAAAGAGTGGGATGGTGAAGTGTGGGAACAGTTGACTGTCTCGGGTTGTCAACGTAACATCCCATGAGATGGGAGGGAGTTTCTGGACCCCTCCTACAAGACACACTTCATGACCATTTGGAGTGACTGTCATGCGTTCGTAATGACTTGAACATATAAGATCCTGTGTCCATGTTTCCTTTGTTTCTTTCTCAATAGGACTGTGTCTGACGTCATCCTGTCAGCGTGGCGTCGTCAGAACTGGGCGTTCTGTAGCTAACGCCTTTGGACGTGGGCGTCCAGGTTTCCGACAACGTTGTTATGTGCTGCGGAGGGTGGGGCATTTGCGTGTGTGCCGTGTGTGACATTAAATTGTGAATTAGTGGGACTTAAGATGTAATGGCTGATCAACCTTGGATGATAATGATACTTGATCATCTTTTTAATAAAATTTGCCTCCACATTTAGAGCTGGAATGTGAAAATGAATTCTATCTCCATGCCATTTTAAGGTTTTGGTTTGTGTATTGAGAATTGTGTGCAAATTATTCATAATGTCTCTGTAATGATCTTAAACCAACCAGTAAAATGCCAGTTACAAAAGGAAAAAAAGAAAATATTCTGGCAGAATTGGTGGTTTTTTCATAGAAACACATACTTCCACCCACCCCCGCCCCCTTTTTTTTTCTTGCTAATTATAATATCCAACCATTGGGATAACTAAAGTGAAAGGGTAAAATTACCAGATCACCTTCATGAAGAAATTATAAAGAAAAAAATATTTTGTTCATTAAAAAAAAATCAACTAAGGGGAAAAGGTACTATTTTCACATTATGAGAAGAAATTCTGAGAGTACAGTAAAATCAGGGTCAATTGTTAGACGTTAGTGCATACGCAACAATAGACTATGAGGAGGAAACTCGAAGGAACAGGATTCCCTCAGCCTCCTGAACACGAGCTAGAAGGTGACTTCTTTCAAAGCCCACTACCAGGGAATCCATGCCAACTCATAGCGCCTGTGTAGGACAGAGTAGCAGTGTCCTTAGAGGATTGTAGGACTGTATCCTTACAGGAGCAGACAACCTTACCTTTCTCCTGCGAAAGGGCTAGTGGGTGCTCACTGCTGACCTTGCGATTGGCTGCTCAACATCTAACCCACTAGGGCTCCTGGATATTGAATCAGATACAAGAAAACTTTTTCTGTTTTTTAAAGATCAGTAAAACGAGCGTACCAGAGTCGAGGTTTGTAAATATTTCCAAATACGAAGAGAAATAGATGGAAGTACTAACCTGAGAGAGTGTAGGCTGCTGTTTTCTCTTGGCTCAGAAGGGGGTTGCTGAGGGAGCAGGTGACATTCACAATGGAGCGGTTTCTGACCAGTAGAGCTGTGTCCACGTGGAACAGCCCACGGCTGTCTTGAGTCAGGACCTCAGAAAAGGAGGGCATTGGCCTTCCTTGCCTGTCCCTCCACTGCACGTGGGGTGGAGGAAACCACCCATCTGAAGAGCACATCAGCTGCATTTCTCCCTCCTTCCATCCCTTCATGGCGATCAATGGAGAAGAACCCAAACCTAGGATTAGAGGTCAAAGAGCCCAAACTTGGAATCTCCTTGAATAAGTATAAGGTCAAATGTTTCCCTGGGGGAGAAGGGCTTCTGGAAGCCAGTAAAGCTTATGATTTAGGAATGAGGCGTTTAGGGATGAGACGGTGTAGAATTCCCTTGCTTTGCTTTCTTTTCTTATTTACTATTTATTTCTCCTGAAAGTATGCCACTAACACATAAAGATGTAAGATAAACTTTCACAACCCACAGGTTTTTTATCTTGTGGTTTGTTTGTCAAAATAACTTTCACCAAGGCCTGGGAAAGTAAGTTGGAAAATATTGCTTCAGATCAAGCAATCTTCCCTGATGTGATCTAACACACTGTAATCACCCCCATAATGGAATCGGCTATCAACAGTCCTTCAGGTGTAAGAAGATTAGGGTGGAATACAACCCTTACTCAAATCACTGCCCTGATACACTCAATTGTATAGAATTTCCTTCAGGGTGTGGCGTGCTTCCCATAAAAATGGATACTGTGGAAAAGGTTCATCAAGGCATGGGAAAGAAAGTAAGTAGGAAAATATTCTTAAACATCAAAATCGTATAAATAGGTATGTCTACTCTCATCAGATCATAAGGGATCATTCAACTTCTCACATATGTCCCTGAAGATATTTACTAAATCTATTGACTCATTTTGACTCAACATTTATAAGAGCAAAAAACTGTTTATCCAGGATTTTAACCTCTCCTCAATAACATATCCTAATATTGGAAAATCAGTTTTTAACCTTAAATATGGGCAGTGGAAACTAATGCATGGACAGGCCTCAACTTTCCTCCATCTCTGACAAAATAATCAATATTTATGTTTTTTATTTGCCTGTCAGATAGACTTTAGACTAAGGTCATTCAAAGATAGCCTCTAAAAATTCCAAGAGATAAGCTTATCCCATCCATTCCATTCTTGAATTTGGGTTGATCCAATCACTTGACCAATAGAATCATATGGAAAATGGATATCGTGAGCCCTCAGTTGAAGACTACTAAAATTCACATTTTCTAGCTCTTAAAGATCTGAGCAATAATGCAAGAAGGCTAGGCTACCCTTCTGGAGAGAGAGATAAAAAAGGGAGCCACATAAAGATGTCATGGACAATGAGAATTGATACCACGCAATACCGCATGGCCTGATGAGTTCTTAGTTGTATTGAAGGCTTAATGGCAGTGGGAGTTCGAAATATTAGAGGATGTTTCTGGCCTTTGGTAACTTAGGAAGTCTCCGTGAAGCAGCTAAGATCTTTTCCTGAGTTATATATGCTGAGCAGGAAAGGAAAAAGGATGGAGGGAAAGTTATGAAGTTCTCTACATAAATAATGGTATCTACAAAGATACACAAGTAACAGTCACCGGATTGACAAGAATTTTAATTAAAAAAAGATATTGACCCAAAATAATAGTCATTGAGCTAGCTTTACCACTTTTAATTACCATATACAGCAATGGTTCTCAACCTGTGGGTCATGACCCCTTTGTGGGCAAATGACTTTCAAAGGGGTCTCCCAATTCATAATAATAATTTATAAATTATCAAGCATTCATGAGAGAGAGGAAAAATGAGGAACTGATGCCAAGGACTCAAGTAGAAAAAAAATGTTTTGAGAACGATGATGGCACAAAATGTACAAATATGCTTGACACAATGGATGGATGGATGAATTTTGATAAAACTGATACCAAGGGCTCACGTAGAAAGAAAATGTTTTGAGAACAATGATGGCAACAAATATGCAAATGTGCTTGACACAATGGATGGATGGATGGATGGATTTTGATAAGAGTTGTACAAGACCCCAATAACATTATTTTTAAAAATTAAAATAAAATAAACAGTACAGTAGCAAAATTAGAGCTATGAAGTAGCAACAAAAATAACTTTATGGTTGGGGGATCACCAGAACATGAGGGACTGTATTAAAGGGTCATGGCATTAGGAAGGTTGAGAACCACTGGTGTATAAAGGATTTTTAATTACTGTATAAAGGATTAATGAAAATGCATCAAATAGTAGTTGTTTTTTAAGGACTAAAAATATTCTAAATAGGGGGCATGTTTCTGTTAGAGTATGTATCAACTCATCTGGACCAGGATTCTCAGTGACTTGGCACTGAAAATCTAGTAATCTTCCATGATGTGATATAGCACACCGCAATCACCCCCATAATGGAATCTGCGATGAGCAGCCCTTCACCTGTTAGAGGATTTGGGTGGAATGTGATATCCTTGTTCAAACCCAGTCCTGATACAATCAATTGAAAAGGATTTTCCTCAGGATGTGGCCTGCTTCCTGTAAAAAGGAATGCTGTGGAAAGTGTGCTTGCTTTCTGCTGGGTTGGGATCCATCATTTGGCTCTTTGACCTCTGGGTCTTTGTCCTTGAGCCAACAATCTGTCATATTGTATGCCTCTCCTGGAAGTGGATAGCCAGTGCCCTCTGACCTGCTGAATTGAGGTTCATTTGCCTCTGTAGCTATCAGCTTATAGTTTTTCAGCGGATCTTGAGTTCATCATCCTCCACAGCTATGGAAGCCAGGAGAAGCCTCCGGCTCCATGGACATCTGACTCACAGAGTTGAAAGATGTCCAGAGTGGACTGGCCATTTGCTGAATATAAATGTATCTCTCTCCTTCTTTTGCTCTGCCTCTCCCTTCCTTTCTCCCTCTTTGTATAAACATATAGATACAAAGACATAGAGCTATACTCGGTATCGGGATAAAAACAATAGACATCAGCCTCACTGGTTTTGTTCACCTAGAAACGCAGCTGGAGACAACGGTATTCATTTCACCAGTACGAAGTCCGTGATTCTTTAAAATGAAACCAGTACAGGTTTAGAAACAAGACGGTGCGATTTGTAACAGAAGGTTGCCTAGAAGCGTACATCAGATTTGAGGTTTCTTCTGTTACTTAAACCATGTCAGACTAGTCAGAAAAGGAGCCTGTTACGTGAACAGGATAAGAAAGGAAAGAAAGATATAGAGTGGTTTGGAGAGTTGGTTGCACACACAATTCATGATAACTAAGACTAGCGTGGTCATCAACATTGTAACTTTCTGAGGGTGTGAGGGAGGGTAGCGTATTATCCCCAAAAGAGTCACCTTGGTCCTTTTGAGTTTGTGTGCTTCAGTTATTTATCCCAGTTTATGAATTTGAAGAATGGATGTATGTTAAAAATGTTTAAGGTGTCAGAGACAATTGCCCAGAACTAGTGTGCTAAAGCAACAGTCACAGGTGTTGAATCAAAAATATCCTTACCTGCTACCTTTAAATCCAAACTGGTCTCCTGGTAGACACCATCTTTTTCAAAAAGGCACCAGTACAGCCCGTTATCTGAAGTCCTGACCCTGGAGATCTGCAGTGTCAGTCTTCCCTCATCAATGGCATCCGTCAGCAGCACTGTTCTCCCTCTATATTCCTCCATCTGCTCTGCAATCACCTGCTCCCCCTCCATGTACACACAAACAGCAGGAGAGCGGTGGGCTCGGATCCACCGCACTTCCATGTTCTGTGCATTAGTCTTGGGAGACAGGTAACAAGTTAATTGTATGTCTTCGCCCACTCTGGCGAGAATGGGCTGGGAAGGTCCAATCACACGTAAAGAAGCTGTTAAGTACAACATAAAAACCAAACAAAAGAGACCCAAAAAAGGTGTTAATCATTTGTTAAACTGTAAAATTAGGGTATGGTTATTAAAATGACAAAATTATTGTGGGTTTAAACAAAATAATTTGTGAAATGCATACAGTGTGAGTGGAAAAGGTTAAGTGTAAGGCTTGAGGACATTATAGCTAAGAGCACCCTTGACCTTCAATATAAGTCTCAAACGGATTTTTAGTAATGAAATATAAAGGAATCCCTCCTCTAGTTCTGATTTTATAATAACTTGAAGTTCAAGTCTCATGTATGGGGGCACTGGATCTATACCCAGTTCACTATTCTCAGATGACCTTGAGCGATATAATCAGAGCAAGAATTGTAGACATCAGTCATACAATTATAGATACACAAAACAAGTCTAATCCTGCCATCGTGGAAAGTCAGAAAGACTTTGAGAGGTCTCTTCAATCCAAGTAATACAATGATTTTAATTCTCACTAGGTCCAGAGAATGTTGATTTCACTTTATTCAGTTTGCCTTGATAATTTTCTATCAAATGATAAGAATGTGCTCACAATGTTATGAGTAAAAATGAAGTTTAGATCCAAATTATAGATTATCCAGCTGGCAGTCAGTGACCAAAGACAGTTGTCCCAATATGTCATTAGCCAAAATATGCTAAGGCACCTCCCTAAAGAAGAAACGCATCGTCCACAAAATTCTAATTTTCAGATTATTTTCTTCTATACAAACTCCGTTTTTGAGAAGTGGTGTATGTTCCTAAAAATATCTGTGACTGTCACTGAAATCTTAAATCCCTCCTGGCAGGTGAAGTACACTGACTTGTACATGAATTCCTTGAAATCTGATAATCTAGTCTCACCATATAACTCTCTTCCAATCAGCCTATTTGGTCCATTGGCCTATCCTTTTCCTCATATATGCTAATTACGGTATAGGTTATGTTGTATTACACTCTATTACATGTAGTATAACATTATACTATTATATACTCTTATACCTAGCGCAATGTATACTGTTTTATCTAAGGAGCCTTGGGGGTGGACTGGTTATGCATTGGCCTGCTAACTGTCAGGTCAGCAGTTAGAAGCACCCCCAGCTCCATGGGAGAAAGATGGGGCTTCCTACGTCTGTAAAGCGTCCAGTCCTAGAAACCCACCAGGGAGGTTCTACCCTGTCCTACAGGGCCGCTCTGAGTCAGCGCTGACTCCATGGCAGGGAGTTTGGTTTGGGGTTTTTACGTCTAGGCTCACAGAAACCAAAATTTAAGAGATCAAATGCAACCTTTTCATTTTAAATATAGGAAAAAGAATGTCAAAATTACATATAATGATAAGAATTTGCACTCTTTAATAAAACAGCCTGAGTCCAAGGCAAATATCAAATGTCCTTGGCAAACTATGACACTCAGATTGTTTCTCAACTATAAAATGATAATAAATCCATTAGCTTTTATGTTAGTGTGAGAACAATAGAAAAATCATTTCTCTATGGCTCTTATCGTTCGCAGCATACAATCAATATTTCTACTAGCTAGTTGTTTTTATATACAGATAACATTATTGGCCAGGGCAGGAACTGGAATGTAGTCTCAGGATTTTTTTCTCTTTCTTCTCCTTCTTCTTAAGCTCCAGAGCACTGTGGTGACCGTGTGGAGTAAGTCATTATTTTTGAGTCTTCCATCCATGAAGGGGCTGTGGAGTTCCTAGTTTCTTTTCATTTCCACAGCATACCCTCAGATCTCCGGAAGGCAAGCTTCTTTGCCCGTCGGACAGGGAGCAAAGGGGAGCTCCAGGTTGCCCTCTGACTGCGTCATAGCACCTGGACGCCAGTACGGCATTCTATTGCTCAGAAAAATGAAACAGGAGGACTTCGGATATAATTCTGTGAACGGGGCCTCCAAGGGCTATGTGAAGTTGGCTGAGAGAGCTCAGAGCAGTGAGTCTTAACCTAAGACCTGTCTGAGGGCAGAGATCTGAATCGACCTGCCCAAATAGTGGCTAACTTTCGAACCTGGAGCTAGCAAACTCCTCCAGGGAACGTTTCTCTTTTTCAGGTTCAAGGGCCGATCCAGGCAGACGGAGCTCAAACTCGAAGGGCCGGGCCCACAGGTGTCTCTCTCCTCAGATGGTGACGTTCATTACCTTTGACTTCCAGAGGCCCTTTGTATCTTTATGGTCTCACGGGATCCGAAGTATCTTTCCTCTAGTTCCTAACTGCTTCCTCCCCGCCCCCACGATCATGATCCAAACTCTACCTTGCAAGTTTGGCTAAACCAGAGGATGGACACTGGTACAGATAGGAACTGGAAACACGGGGAATCCAGGGCGGATGATCCCTTCAGCACCAGTGGTGTGAGTGGCGATACTGGGAGGGTAGAGGCAGGTTTGGTTGGAAAGAGGGAACTGATTACAAGGATCTACATGGGACCTCCTCCCTGGGGACCAGACAACAGAAAA